GGAAGCAGGAGCCAGAGCCTGTCTCACTCTGTGCTGGAGACAGGCTGGTAGATGTCTTTGTTGGAAAGGGGACGGTTCACTGGCCGAGGACCAGATGTAAACACAGGAGACCACCTTGGTGGCCAGCTGGCGAGACAGTATTGGATGAGTCACTTTAGCTTCTGTGGGTTTGCTTACTCTTCCTCAGTGAGGATGGGGTGTGTGTGCATGCTGCCCTTCCCCCTACCTCCTTTCCCCATTCAGCCCCTTTTTGTGGATAGAGAAGAGTATGAGATCTAATGAGTGGGGGGCTTCAGCAAGATATGGGACAGGGCTTCTAACTCTGGGTGGTGTGGGGAAATACCTTAATGCTAAGAGCATAAAATGGGCCCGGATGAACTGGACTGGGTCCCAGCTTTACTGCTAAGTAATTGTGTCATCCTTCTGAATGTCAATGTCCTCATCTATAAAATGGGAGAGTAAACTTATACCTCACAGGGTTATTCTGAAATAAATAAGTAAATGAAAATGCTTTACAGATTGTAACACACTACTCAGTTCCAAAGAGTGTTCTGTAGGACACAATACCGCAGGATTTTAACAAGGTTAGGTGAAAAGAGGCTGTCAGACAAGAAACTGCTGAGTGACACCAAACGAAATAGGTAATTCTTAACTCAGAACTACATTCTCATGCTCACTGTGCCTTTCTAGGAAGAAAAGTGTATGCAGAATTCCCAAAATGAAACCTTTTTTCACAGAGAGAATACATTTTTGGAAGCACAAGACTAGACAGTAAGGATAATAGCTAACATTTATTGAAAGGTACTATCTGCCAGGCACTCTACCAAGTACAATTATTCAGTGTCTCATTTAATCCTTACAACATCCCACGAAGGGGTTACTGTTATTATCTCCATTTACAGATAAAAGAATTTGGCCCAGAGAGGTTAGGTAAATTGCCCAAGATTACACAGTAAATTCAGAACAGGGATTCAAACACAAGTGGTCTGGCTCCAGAGCTCACCTATTTAACAGTCACACTCTTAAGTAAATTCACACACACACACAAAAAAAAAACGGGGGGCGGGCGAAGAAGATATAACAACTACAATTCCTTGAAGTTGATACAACAAGCAAACAGAAAGGACATTGTTGGGTGGGAGGGGGGAGAGGGAGGAGGGAGGGAGGTTTCGGTGATAGGCAACAATAATCAACCACATTGTATATCGGAAAATAAATAAATAAATAAAAAGAAGCAAATCTTAAAATAAATAAGTAAATAAATAAAATAACATAGTATTTGCATATAACCTATGCACATCCTCCTGATTATCTTAAATCATCTCTAGATTACTTATAATACCTAATACAATGTAAATGCTACATAAACAGTTGTTATACTGTATTGTTAAGGGAATAATTACAAAAGAAAAAAAAAACAGTCACACTCTACTGCCTTCACTAATACTTGTTGGCTATTATTATTATTATTTCTTTTCTTTCTTTTTTTTTTTTTTAAAAAGATGACCAGTAAGGGGATATTAACCCTTGACTTAGTGTTGTCAGCACCACGCTCAGCCAGTGAGCGAACCGGCCATCCCTATGTGGGATCCGAACCCGGGGCCTTGGTGTTATCAGCACCGCACTCTACCGAGTGAGCCACGGGCCGGCCCTATTATTATTATTATTTCAAAAACATAGATGATATTAGGGCCTTGGTTTGTATTATGTTGATTCAACAAGTGTTTGTCAAACACGTATTTCTAGCCAGACACTGTACTGGGCTCTGTACAACAGTGGAGAAGACAGTCACACTTCCTTTCCTCACTGAGCTTTTGGTCTAGTGGGGAAACATAGTCAAATAAGCAGGTGATTGTTTACTTGAATGTAGTAAATATTGTTACTGGGAGATATCTAAGGTGCTAGGGGAGCTGTTAGGAGCAATAACTACCTCAAACTTAGAAGGAATCACTGGAGGAAGTGACTTCTAATCAGAGGCCTAGAAATGAATTGGAGTTAGCCAGCTGAAGGCGTGGGAGAGGGGAAGATGTTCCAGGCAGTGGAATGGTATTTACAAAGGCTCAGAGGCAAGAAAGAGCATTAAGAAGGCCATGGTGAGAGATGAGACCTCAGAGGTGAGCAAGAGTCCTCTTCATGAACGTTCCTCACTGGCTGGTCTATGATGCTGGCACTCTGCTGACATTTGAAGTGAAATAGTCCCAGCTGTGTTCTTTGAGTTCATCTGCTTTTTTATGGTAAGCACCCTGTGTATTATCATTGCACTTGTGAAACTATTCTAACTTGTCTGTTCAGTGGTATGATCCTTGCATTAGATTCTTACCTTCTTAGAGTCGGGAACTATGTCTTATTCATTATTATATCTCCAGAAGCTCCCACCATGCATTGGTACTCATTAAATGTCATTTGTTGAATGAATGATGGGTTGTCTTTGTAAAATGGATTATACCCTTCTTGCTTTCTTGAGCCAACTATTACTTTTCCTCAGGTCCATCATTATATCCAGCAGTTAATGTCCTATGTGGCAGTTCAGTGATACCCTTAGGGGCTTTTGAGGTGCTGTACTCTGAATTTCCTTTTCAGCTTTTCATTGTCCTGTTCTTTTCCCTCCCTGCCTGGCCAGTGCTTGATTGTAATCAATCTGCTTGATTCTAAAGTATCCTCTCCAGCCTCCTTATTTCCTTCTCCTAATCTGCAGTGGGCTGGAAACAAGATCATCTAGAATGATTTGATAAGACTGTGACTAAGAGTTAGTAATCTCTGATAGAGGTCCTTTAGGACTCTCAGATGGGAAAAGTGTAAGATTCCATTGCACAAGAGACTTGTATGTTAGCTCTCAGAGGCCTTCCTCCTGTTCTTCCTGCTCCAGGAAAGGTGAGATAATACTGGGGGGTGGGGATGGGGGATCATCAGTCTGCAGAGCCCCTGTCTGGAATAGAAGAGCTGATTGACCATTGATTCGATAAACCCCACGTATGTATGTTCTGTTCTCCAGCTACACACTCCACCAACTTCATTTTGACCAAGCATTTGAAATGTTTCCACCCAAGCTAGCTTATATGGGTGCTAGCTACAAACCTCTGGTCGTTTTCTATTAAGGACAAGTTCCACAGAGAGTATGCTTGCACGTTCCCCCAAGCAGGGAAAAATGAGAGTCAAGGCTGGGACAAGAACATCTGGGCTCTACTCCTTTCTCTGGGCTCTGGTTCCCTCATTTTGCAAATGAGTTAAAGCATGATATGATGGAAGGAAAAAATAAGGACTCAGATTAGACCTGGGTTCTAATCCTCACTCAATCACTTATTAGCTGTGTGACCTCTGAGCTTCAGTTTACTCATCTGTAAAATGGGGAGAATAATACCTGTTATGTAAGGTCGTTATGAGAATTAAATAAGATCAGTTGTGTGAAGTGACTGTCAGGCACAGAGTAGAAGAAGGTCAATAAATGAAATCTAGTAATATTAGGAAGAAGCACAACAGTCTTCTGCCTTTCGAAATTTTAAATAGGATGTTCAGTATTACAGGAGGGGGGGATGCAGAGGCCCCATTCCAAGATCACTTGGAAAAGAATGGTTTAGGAATTGTCTGGTGCTTTTGACTACCTACGCAAGGTCACCTTTTGACCTCCTGTACACTCCTTCATCCAGTGTGAGATAAGAGGAGCCTACCCTTTGGAGGCCCTGTGCCATGGGCTAGGGGAGAAGGGGGTTACAGGTAAGCAGGCCCCAAATTCCACCCCCAACAAACAGCTCAGGAGGGGACATAAGACAGTTACCCAGATAATTTCCACATGCAGAAAGAAATCACGTCACCTGAACAGAATAGATACTGTTTTGTAGGGTCTCATTTCCCAAGGGAGAGCCCCAGAGGTGGACTAACCTTCCAATTTATTGTTCCAAACTGGAACAGGTGTAAACCAGGACTATCCTGGGTGAACAGCAACGTGTGTATTCACCCAACCCAGGAAGTCTTGTAAAAGTGATGGGCTGGCCAGTTAGCTTAGTTGGTTAGAGTGCAGCCTTATAACACCATGGTCATGGGTTCAGATCCCCGTACTAGCCAGCTGCCAAAAAAAAAGTGACAAACTTTTTAGGTTATCTTATATAAAATTGGAGAGATAAAGTTTTGAATATTAGCACTAGTGTGAGCTTAGGGGGGTTGGGTTCTTTGATCACATGAAATGCTTGTTCTTCTTACCTTTCAAAAAATGTTTACAGTATTAAGGGTAAAAAAGCCAATTACAAAATTATATATACAGTAAACCTCAATTTTGTATGAAACCTGGAAGGATTAATACCAAAACATTAAATGTAATTTCTGATGTTGAGATATTGGTCCCTTTTCTTCTTAGCACTCTTCTGTGGTTTCAAAAAATTTAATTGCTTTTATAAATTAAAAAAGCTCTTTAAAAATTAAAATAACTTATTCACTAGATTATAGTCTTCAGAGCTGTGCTGTTCTTCTGCTAAGAACAGCCTCTGTCTCTTGTTCCACCCTTCCCCTGTCCTACCCCAACTTCCTTTCTTCACTCGGATAACTCCTCTTCATCCTTTGAGACTCCCATCTTCCGGGATTCTCACTTCATGCCCAAGTTGACCTAAGTTTTCCTGTGGCTTCTTATATCATCCTGTTGTCAACCTCTAACATATCCTATATCAACCTCTAACATAGCATTTACTTCAAACAATACTATAAATATGTATTTATTGTCTGCCTCCCTCATCAGATTAGGTCAGGGGTCGTACCTGATTTGTTTCATGTTCCCAAGATGAATCCTAATACATAATAGATGTCAGTAAACATTTGTGGAGCTATGTTTTAGCTGGCCTGTTTTACCTCCTTTGCCCAGCACAGATGGCCAGGCACATGGTAGTTGCCATTTTTTGTTTAGTTAAATAGGTAGATGAGTGAGTGAGTGAATTAAAATGCCAAGAGAAAGCAGGTGAGATTGGTGGCTCATGCATTTGTTGCTAATAGAAGGATTTGTGTTGTTCTCCCCCTAGTCCTGGTCACCCGAGAGGATGATTTCAACAACCGGCTGAACAACCGCGCCAGCTTCAAGGGCTGCACAGCCCTGCACTATGCTGTCCTTGCCGATGACTACCGCACTGTCAAGGAGCTGCTTGATGGAGGTGAGAGTGGGAGTGGATGAAAAAGTGGGGTTGGCAGGGGGAGAGAGAGTACTAGGCAGCCATTCCATCTGGAAATGCCATACCCAGAGCCCTGTTACCCTCCCAGAGCTGGAAATGCCTTGAAAGTGGCTGCACTTCCTGAGAGTGGTAGTGTGCACATGTGATTTGCCCTCCTGTGACGGATGTGTATTCTTTGCCTACGTGTGTGGTATGATCCATGCCATCCTGCCTGTCTACATATGCTGTAAGCGTTTTCTTGATTGTTGCTCTCCCCAAAAGTGTCCTCTCTACTGCCTGTGACCTTCACAGCAAGGCTAATGGAACAAGGGAGATGCTCCTCAAATCTCTACTAATGCAGGTCTCAAAGACCACCTCCTTGATCACACCTTCACCTCAGTCTCAGTTAGACCCCTCCCATTACTCTGGGTCATGACACCCTATTCTTTTCTGTCATTGCACTTGTCACAATCTGAAATGGTTTTTATTTGTTCAATAGCCTTCTCCCTAACTTCACTCTGAGCTCCCTAAAGGCAAGAACCATGGCTGACTTGTTTAGGTGTTCCCAGCACCTAGCAAAGTATTTGGCACTTAGTAAGCATTCGATAAATATCTTGTTGAATTATGAATACTCTACCTTTGGAGAGCATCAGTTTAATTGGAGAGACAGTATGTACCATCCCCAGACTCAAGCTGAGCTGGTCCTGTCCAGGTCTGGTACAGAGTTAACTGCCAGACACCTCCCAAGCAGTCACCTTCCCTCCAGCCTCTCTTTGGGATAGGGAGGAACCATCTTGCCAGGATGTGTGGGACCCAGGCCCCTTAATGAGTACATGGCACGTGACTGTTACATGTCCTCCTTGCCACTTCCTGAGGGCCAGGAACCCTCTCTTGGGGCTAGCTCCAGGGTTCTTGTCAGGGGTTATTCTCCATAGAACTTGAGAGATGGAAGGGTCCTCAGAGGTCCTGTGGGCTGCTCTGTTGATTGCCTGCCTCCCTGCCAGCAGAAACCTGTCCCAGAGCCAGCTGGCTGGCATTTTCTTGGATTCTGTTAGAGACTGCTTCTTCCCTAGGGAGTCCTTTCCATTTTACTCTGACTGGTTGAAACATCTTAATGAGCTGTGATCTTCTCTGTAACTTCTACAAACTGTCATCTGCTACCCAATCACTTTTTCAAAAATCAGTCTTCAAAGTTCTTCCAGTCCCAGAGCCTTTGCTTCCCCAAGCCCAATATCCCAGGGTCATCTTCCAGCCCTTGTGATGTGGTTAGGCTGGAGGAACTTTCCAGAAACCCCCAATCCTGCCACCTTCCTTCAGCCACATCCATGCTAGCATAAAACCCAGTCCTGGCCCATATCCCCAGCCTACAGGGGGTCTGCCCCAGAGCAGCCAGAATGTGCCTTGCCCTTGGTCATGTACAGTGTGAAGGGCAAGACTACCCTTGGATACAGTGACAGTGCCTAGAATGACTGATGCTTTTGGAGTGAGAACTCACTGCTCTTAGAAGTAGAGACTTAGAAAACATCCCCAAGTAGGATGCTTCTTATTTTGTCCTTTGGAAAGCTCTCTGGTGAGATATTTGTAGCTAAGAATTGGACCATTCACCAAGGCGTTTCTCTCTGCCGTGCCTGAAAGTCAATCAATACTTCCAGCCATTGTCCAGTAGTTTATATTGCCCGCTTATCCCCAACCCCAAACAGACAGAGAATTCACTCTGTAGGGAGCCCCTCTCCCTAACCTTCCAGATCGAACACCTTTGAAATGAAAAGACTAGGGCCTTTTATGAAGCTCCCTCCACCCTCACCCCTTTGAGTGGCCCTTTGAGTCGTTCCAGGGGCATGGTTCCTGCCTGTTGACTTGGAACAGATGCCCTTAGCCCCCACCTTTATATTTCTTCCACCTGCCTTTTTAGCCAGCATCCATTTACACCCCTACCCCTAGCCTCCCAGCCTCAAGGGCTAAAACCATTAACCAGTTATTTTTCCCTCCCAGACCTGAACAAGTCACTGTCACTAGGAGCCTGCAGGCCTGCTGGCTTCTGACCTCCCTCCCCCCTTGACCTCCCTTGGTCTGCCTGTGTATGTGACCAGCCAACCAAGAGGCAGGATCCTGTTCTCTTGTCCTAGGGGCTATTGCCAGTAACGTTTCCAAAGTCTTTTGACCTCAGCTGACCTCCCCAAAGTGTTTCATGGAAGGCAGGAGTGCCTGACTTCCTGCCCATTTAACTTTCTTAGCCTGTACTTGCCATCAGCTTTGCTGCAGCGATGTAGAGAGAGGTTCTGTCTGTGAGATCCAAGGCAGGCTTAGACATAGAGGCAATCCTATGCTCACAAGGTCCATATATAAGCCTTTTCTTTGAAATTGCTCAGTCCACAGTGATTTAGGGTCTCCAGGTCTTAGAGGCTTAGAGCTAAAGAGGGCAGCTACTGTTGATCAGAAGTCCCCATTTGAGCTGGGAGGATGTTCAGGCAGCAGCATCAGGCTGATTTTGTGGGAAGTTCTCTGGCCCTTTAGGAGGCAGCATGGAGTAATAGAAAGGGCACTTCAAGCTTCAGGGTCAGGCCAGCCTGGTTTTGAATGCCAGCTGTCCCACCTTCTAGGTGTGTTGCCTTGGACGTGTTACCTTAACTCTCTAAGTGTCAGTTTTTTTATATGTAAAATAACGCCTGCTTCATAGGGGTAGCATGAGGATTAGTGATAACGTCTATAAAAGACCCAGACAGGCACATGGTAGGTGCTCTATGATAGGTAGTTGTCATTACGACTTATATGAAGAAATCAATTTCTCATCCTGGCAGCTATAATCCCTTTCCTCTCCTGTATGGAACCTGTACTCCTCTTAATTCTGTCTCTGACTACAACTTTGTCACCCTCCTAAAATGGTACTGTGTTCCCTCTCTTATCTGAATCCTCAGATTCTTCAAGGCCTCCCTCTCTCAGGAAACCTTTCCTAGTTGTCTGGTCTACTCTGATACTTTCCTCTGAACTTTTATAGGATTGCACAAGTGCTAAGCACAGAATGCTCAAGGTCACTTCTTCATCTTCAGGAGGTCCTGTAACAAAGTGAAAAGAACATAAGCTTTGGAGTCAGACAGACCTGGGTTTAAATCTCAGCCCTGGGCTGGCGAGTTAGCTCATTTGGTAGAGCGTGGTGCTGATAATACCAAGGTCGAGGGTTTGGATCCCCATATAGCCAGCTTCCCCCCCAAAAAACAAATAAATAATAATGAAAAATAAATAAATAAATCTCAGTCCTGTTATGTGACTCTGGGCAAGACACTTGCCATCTCTCAGACCATGGACCTCAAGGCATCCTAAGATCAGGCACACTGTTCCTGATCCTGAGAGACTCTTAGACTGTTGCAGGAGACAGGTGTAGAAATAAGCTATGACAGCAGGGTAGGTGCTCTGGCAGGGGGCCAGACAAGGGCTCTGGGGACATAGAGGAGAAAATGCCTTCTTCTGCATGGTGAGCAGGGAGGTAGAATCAGTTACAAAAAGCTTCCAAAAGGAGGGTTGCTTGAGCCTTATCCAGGAGGGTAATGGGAGTTTGCCAGACAGATTCTCCGGAAGGGTTTTGAATTAACCCATGCTAATCTTCTACACCCAACCTCCACAGAAAAGTAGGTACACAGGCCTCTGTGTTTTTCACTTTTGAAGATGCTGCTTCTGCCTATGTCTGTAGCTTATGAGCAGGAAGGCTCTGCTTCAGCACTTGATGGCAAGTACAAGAAAAGGTGGGAGGGAGGGAGAGGCAGGAGCCTCTGATTTCCAGAGCTGTTAAGGTGCTCTAGTAACCGTTTCCTCTCAGGGTTGTGATCCCACTGGCGGATCCATCTTTCTAAAACATATCTCTAATCATGGCAGCCTTTCTCGACCAGGGTTCTTCCAGGAAATTGAGCCCTAATGCTCTAAGGCATCCATTGTACACAGGAATTAACTTCTCTACCAGGCATCTAAAATCGTACTAGGTATATACCACACTCTTGGGAAAATTGAGAAAATCATTACTCAAATAATTTTCTGTATGTGGTTCAAAGGAGAAACCCCAGCTGAGAAAGGTGGCAAGGAAAGGGCATGAGCTTTAGAGTCAGGATCTGAATACCATGCTACTTAATAGCTGTGTGATCCTGGGCAAGTTACCAACCATTCTGAGGTTCTTTTTCCTCATCTAGAAATGGGGAGGGATGCCACCTACCTTCTAAGGTTTTGTAAGGATTAGGACATGTGTAGCTTCTGCAGAGTAGGCACTTTATATATAGTACCTGTTGTTAACTACAAAAACACTCAGTGCTTACTTGCTTTAGGAAAAAAAAAAAAGAATCCCAACCATCCTATCTTGTAACTGGTTTTTGAGTCTGACCCTCTCCTAACTTTTTCCCCCACTGCTGCCCAGATCCTCCAGCTACACGGTATTGTTGATTCAATGTTCCCACCTTGGTGCCTTTACTCTTGCAGTTCTTTCTGCCTCTCCTTTACCTTTGACTTTGTTTCTCAGGCTGCTGGAATTCTTTCTACCAGTCAGTCCCAGTTCTCATGCTGCCTTCCTTCTGGAGTCTTCCCCGTTCCCTGGGATTCCAGTCCCACTTACTAGACTGAGGTAGATTGAAGGCAGTACAGTCTTTTTTTGTCTTTGTCTCCCTTGGATGCTTTGCACATAGTTTAGGACATTTTTGATACACTGATAAATCTCCAAAACCACGGTAGGTTTTCCTTGGGAGATATGGTATCTTTGCTTACTGGCCCACCCACCCTTAATGTCCTAATGTGTCTGGCCTTTTAGAGCTTCACATATGAGCCACCTCTTTCCAGCTTTCTTTCTTCTCCTTGTAGTCACGGTGCCTCTTCCTTTTCAGCCACCAATGCTCATCACCTCAGAAACACTTGGGCTTTATGAAACCTAATACCACTTTCCCCAGGGCCTCCCTCAGCCTCTTTCCTACTTACTTTCATGGCACCTCCTTGCCTTTCTCTGCAAGTTCCCAGCTCACTTGTCAGTGTTA